CAGGTGAGCCCTTGGCTCGGGCCCTGGGCGCGCAGGTGAGCCCTTCGCGCAGACCTCAGGTCAAGGACGCTGTGCTCGTTGCCGCACTTTGTTCCTCAGGATCGTCCATCCCAGGACCCCATCTCCAACACAGAGCACTAGAAGAAGCATGCAGAATTTCGTAGATGCTCTTCACAGGGCCCTAAAGTAACACAGTAGGTATGCTGCTTCTCTTCTGTTGTTTGATGTCTTCTCCTTTTTGCTAGGGCAAAATGGAGTATGTGTTTGAGTTGGACGTTTCCAGGAAGGTCGAGGACGTGGTGGAAACGCTGCTTCAGGTAAGGCAGTGACCCAAGAAGTGCTCACCAGAAGGAGAACTCAGAGCAACCTGAGGCAGAAATCATTTTTAAAACATATTTTATCATTTCATGTTGTCAAACTATAAATCTTTTCTAAATATCTAGCAGATTTACTTGAATATACAGAACTTGAAAACTGTGTGTTAGGAAGAAGTGGTATCAGAAGTAATCTTGACTACTTCAAGGGGCATAATGGATATTTTTCATCTTTTTCTAAAGAAATGGTTGGTGTTTTTTCAGAGAAAAGCTAATCTTGTGTGTCTCCAACTTTGTAGCTTCACAGAGCCTCCTGCCTTGACAAGCTCGGTGACCAGACTGCCATGGTGAGCGTTTCTAGTGACCGAGTCTCTGATTGTGAATTAGCTTGTGCTCATATTTTATTTATTCACGTTTTCAAACGGTTCTGTTCCCTTAGATAACAGCTATCTTGCAGTCACGCTTGGCTAGGACATCATTTGACAAAAACAGGTGAGTTCCTTATTTTGTTTCCTGATTCCAAGGGCAGTGGAGGTCTTCATCTGTAGACCTCATGTGACGTGTCCAGAGATGCTGTTGGGGTCATCTCACCCCAGACCTGCATGTCTAACGTAATGTAGGAAAAACCATGGTTGCTTCCATGGCTGTTCTCCACTCTGACAGCTGCCAGTTGGAAACACCTGTGGACCAGTACTGTCCCCATCTGTTCTGTACATGCCTGCTGCCCTGCTGCCATCACCTCCACCCAGCCCTTGTTCCCCTCCCCACCCACTCCAACCCTCCCTCCTCCACTCTTCTCCACCTGAACGGAGGGTCCTTTTAAGATATGTTCTTTCTAAAGAACCTCTGTGGCCACATCGCTGACCCGTTCCCAGTTCTCCAAGGCTCCAATACCTTTGAGAGAAGCCTGGACTCAGGCTTCTATGGATGCAGCCTCTGTGTGCCAGGTCTCCTTTTTGAATGGCTCATTGTTCTCCTAAAGTCGTTTTTTTTTTTTTTTTTTTTTTGGTGGAACCAGGGATTGAACTCAGGCCCTTGCGCTTGCCAGGGAAGTGCTTATTCCACTGAGCCATCTCCCCAGCCCCTCATTGTTCTCTTGCGTTCAGTCTGCTAGCCTTTTCTGGTTTTCCTGTTGGGTCAGGTTTCTCTTGCCTCTGTGCCTTCATTCAGGTTCCTTCTTTCATAGAACACTTGCCCTCTCTGTGTTTGGCTCACTCTTACCTTCCGATTTCAGCTTAGCTGTCATTCTTCTAGAAAGTCTTCTCGGCCCTTCGAATTGAGACGAGTACTTTGCTTTCACATTGTGCCCCGTGGGGACAAAGCAAGCGAGTACATACTCTTGCTGCTCTAATGGATTTTTCATTGATTTTCTTGGCTTGATTAAAGTATACAGGACACTTTTATATTATGTTGTTCTTGTTTCTTGCTCTCGCGCTCCATATATATATTTTTTTTTCTACTTTTTTTTGGGGGGAGGCAAAGTTTCACTGTGTGCAGTTCAGGCTGGCCTTGAGGCTGACGCTGAGACTTACGCGCTGCCAGCTTGCTAAGAGGGCATGTGAGGCTGGCCTTGAATTCATTTTGCAGCCCAGGCTGGGCTTAAGCTCTCAGCAGCCCTCCTGCCTCAGTCACCTGAATACCAGGATTACAGACGTGTGCCGCTGTATCCAGCCTTCTTGCCTTAGATTAAGTAGATTCTCTCACGTAGAATTGGGTTTGTCCCTGTCTTCACTCTGATAGCAATGTATTCCTGTAGTTCATGGAAATTGCTAGTGCAGGTAGTACAGACCTCACAGCTTGCTTTCCTCTTTTACCTTATGTATTCACTATTCTTAATATTCTGTATCAATAATTAGCTTGTCAGTTTCCATAAAAGAAAGCCTGTTGGGCTTTTACTTGGGTTGCAGTAAATCTTGTTTTCTCTCCATTTATTTAAATCTTTATAATCTTTATTGTTTTCCCTTTTTAAAAATAATTTTATTGAGAAACAAATAGCAATGAGACAGTTTCAAAGCCGATTAGTAGGACAGTTTCAATAATTAATACATTGCATATTGTTGTCTTTGTAGTGGTTATTCATAGTACAAGATGCAGACATGATATCCTCTCCAAGCACTATTAGCACAAATCTTTCTATTCATTGAATTAAGAGAAAGTAGCTGTGTATCTATCCTATTTTGAATATACAAATACAAAATGGTCCTTCATTTGTATCCCCCTTTTGGTTCATTTTGTCAGAGAAAGGTATTCCATTGTCATTTAAATATTGTGGGTGCGTGAATTCAGCAAAATAATCCAGTGTAGTTCAATAGTCCATAATAGTGGGTTTTCTGTAGGACTGGCAATGTCAGAAGTTGTTGACTTGAGCCTTTTACAGCTCAGCATATTAATATGGCTTTACTTTTTATACTTCGTTTTTGTACTTTTCTGCTGGATGGTTAAGACCAAGATAAAACAAAACCTGTACAACAAGAAATGTAACTTTTGTATCTGACAAGGTCAGTCAAACATTTTTCCTGATTTATGTTAGATATATTTCAAATACTTTATATTTTTAATAGTATTGCAGATGGTACATTACTAAGTACTTTATTTTCTGTTTATTCTTGATGCATGGAATGCAATAGACTTTTTTTAAAATTTTATTTATTTATTTATGTGGCCAGCTCAGCCCACCAGGGGGCGGGGCTGGCTAGCATGTGGTGCTGGGGGATCGAACACTTCGCCAAGCCTGCTCCAAGTAGGTGCTTTAGACAACTGAGCCATCTCACCAGCCCCGCAATAGACTTTTGTGTTGTTTCCATTAACACTGTGATCAATTCCATTAACTTCAGTATATTTAGATTTCTCCTATGTACAAAATCTTCTCTATGAATTATTTATAGTGTCTCTTAACTGGCAGTTTTATTTTACTTATTACTTTTTAATTTTAATTTTGTGGCTGGCTCAGGCTGCCTTAAGGGTGGGTCTGGTAAGGCATAGGAAGCTAGGGATTGAACTGCAGTCCCCTGTAGCAGTTTTATTTTAGATTCTTGCATTTGTAATCATTCATGCTTAAGACAAAGTAGAAAATATTGGTGGAATAGATTGATTCGTTTATGATTATGTGTCAGTCTTTCGCTAGAAGCCTGTATTTATAAATGACAGCAGTTTGTTATTTCCCATCTGTATCTGCTCTCTGGCCCTAATTTGTGTGTATCAGCCACCCTGACCCGTATTCTGACTACACTTTAACCCGTTAAGTAACCTGCCGGAAAAGCTGTCTGTGGTTTTTTGTCTTCACTTGATTGTTTTTCTGTTTCTCTACATCACATTAATTTTTTTAAAAGATGTGTTTGGTACAGGGTCTCACTATGCAGCTTGGACTTGTAGTGATCCTCCTGTCTCAGCCTCCCCAGCGCTGGGATTACAGGCATGCACCACCACACCTGGACTCGGTGGCCCTTCAGCACATCTGGGGCAGGGCCAGCATGCATGTGGTGCTGGGGATTGAACCCTGGTCCCTGCGCTTGCTTAAGCAGGCGCTTAGTCCACTGAGCTATCTTGCCAGCCCTTCATTAATTTTCTGTTTATTTTTATAATCACAGGATATATTAGGTAACTGTATTGCCAAGGAAGAATAGTTTTTATTTTGGAAAGAGAAAGGAATAATACTAAGAAAAGTCACCCTCCTTTGACCTAGTTAGAGTGTCATTTTTCTAAGTAGCCATTTAAACTTCAATTTTGGACATGAGCAATGGGATTCATTTAAAAAGTGGCTCACTATGAAATTCTTAATGTATCCATCTCTGAAATGGTAGACTAAATAATCTAAGGAGAAATTTTACACTATAAAGTGAAATGTTCCATTATTGCATACTTCTTCTAGAAGAAAGTAAATTTTTGGTAAGATAGACTTTTGTCATATTTTTGAACAGTTATTTTTTTATGAAAGGACTATAATTTATATTCTCCTGCTTCTGCTTTTGGTAATTTTCAGACCCTCACAAGTTGAAAGAGTAATATAATGGACACAAGCACCCTGTAATTGCTAAGTTTGCATTAAGTCTTACCTACCAGTGAGTTCATTCATGTGGTTGCTGTACGTGTGGATGTGTGCTGTCTGTGCGTGTGTACACTTTGTGTATGTTGGTGCGGATAGGTGTATACAGCTGGCCCTCTATACTTGTGAATTCCATATCTCTAAAATCAACCAACTGCAGGGTAAAAATATTTGTAAAATATGCCTGGTTAGGTGGTGCCTGACCATAGTCTCAGAAGTTAGGAGGCTGAGACAAGAGGATCCCTGTGAGTCTGAGCTACAAAGTAAGTTTCAGGGCAGCCTGGCAAAGTGGACTAAGCACCTGCTTAGGCAAGTGCAGGGACCAGGGTTCGATCCCTGGTACCACATGCACTGGTCTCACCCCCCCAGGGGGCAGATCAAACCAGCCACTGAGATTGGGCATGGTGGTGCATGCCTGTAATCCCGTGCTGGGGAGGCTGCAAGCAGGAGGATCACTATGCGTCTAAGCTATGTAGTGAGACCCTGTACCAAATACATAAAAAAACCCAAAACCATAGTTTTGGCAAAACCAGAAATTTTTGACAGCTCCGCCTAGTGGTACATTCCTGTTTACAGAACTGGGAAGGCTGAGGCAAAAAGATCTCAGTGAATTTAAGTTCAGCCTGTGCTACATAGTGAGTCCAAGGCCAGCCTGAACTACATAGCAAGACTCTGCCCCCAAAAACTCAATAAATAAATAACAAAAAGGAAACATTAAAGACAAAATCAATATATACCTACATATAAAATACTATACTGTGTGTGAAAACTAATAGAGTAAAATATGAAAAAGCAAAAGAAATTATTAAAAGGGATCTATAATAGGCTTTATAGAAAATAAAAGTGCATTCTGGTATGAACAGAATAAAGAAAGGAAAATACACTGTGAAACACAGATGGTGGGCTGGGGAGATCGCTCAGCAGTCTAAGCACCTGCCCAGCAGGCACAAGGACTTGGGTTCAACCCCCTGTACCACATGCTGTGCTGGTCTGCGCAGACCTGTAACGCCAGCGGTGGCGAGGCTGAAAAGAGGAGGATCACTACCAGTCCTAGCTGCACAGAGAGACCCTGTGCCAAAAACATATAATAATAATAATAATAATAATAATAATAAATAGAATAAAAAAGGCCAGCCTGAACTGTATATTGAGATCTTGTCTCAAAAACAAAAAATTTGAAAAAATGCTTTTTTTTTTTTTATTTAGTACAGGGTGTATAGGGTCTCACTAGGAGATCGGGCATGTAGTGATCCTCCTGTTTTCAACTGCCCAAGTGCTGGGACTACAGCACGTGCCATCACACCCAGTCTCAGTCTCAGTCGTGGTCTCAGCACCGCCCCCCCGGGGTGGGGCCGGCACCCCATGCTGGGGATTGAACCCCGGCCGCTGCGCTCTGCCTAAGCAGGTGCTCTAGTCCGTTGAGCTATCTAGCTGGCCCCAAAAATGCCTT